ACGAGGCAACGTCTGCCAGAGACAGTGCGGTGGAAGAATTGCAACTTAGTACTGTTCTCACGGAGATTAAGGAAGTTACTCCAGTTGTGCCACGCAGTGGCAACATCGACACAAATGCCAGCAGAAGGACACGCAAAAGTGCGATCATCCACATATGTGGCAAAAACCGAAGAGGGAAAACGCCTCTTGAGATCAAGATGTGGGCCCAGCAAGGTGGCAGCAAGGCCAAGCATCGACATCGCGTCGCCTTGGGGCAACGAAGCACTAACGTAACAAGGACTGGGATCGGTGTCACCAGCCAGCTGGAGAAAACGTGCCTGATGGCACCAAACACTAGACAGCATATTGCTGATGCCAACCGGCATGCCCAACTGATGAAAAACATGCAGCGGGATGACAGGGTTTGTGGAGTCGAAGGCCAAAGAAAAGTCAAGCGACCCTATATAAAAGCCCTCGTCGACAGACAGCAAAATGGGAAGGAGGGCAGCGGAAGTAGAGACGCCTTGACGACCCCCATAAAAATCGTCAGGCCACCAGTGCGAAATCCAAGCGGACATGCACCGACTGCGGAGCCTGGCGCGACCCCAGAGACGCCACCAGGCAGACAAAACACTGACAGGCCTGAGAGCATCAGCCCGAACAGCATTATCTTGGGCCCTAACACCTTTACCGGCTTTCGGCAAGTGGACTTGGCGAATGAGAACCCAAGTACTGGGCACCAGCCCATACGTCTCAAAATGATAAAACAGAGGGGCGAGCTGCCTCCACGCACTAAAAGGAAGAGCGGCAAGATCATCACCGCTCCACCCGTCAACCCCCGCACTGGTACCAGCCAGGGCTAGAGAAGCCTTGGCCAGATCCTCAGCCGTGAGGGCTTCCCACACCTGAGTAGGGCGCCTAAAATCATTAAGAGTATCACTTAAGACTCTGAGAATATTGGCAAAATCAGGGCGTTCGCGATTCCAGACGGAGCACCAAAAGTCTTTCAAACACTGGATGCCTTCGAGCGGGGACATCGAAACCGGAGAGTCATTCCAGTAGAGATTGTAAGTAGGCGCGCCAGACCGACCACGCAACCACTTGAAAACCTCCTTGTCACAGGCAAGCAGTTTATCACGCCACAGGCAGAGCGAGCGCTCATTGTTGGTGACAGGCTCAGAAAACCTATTGGCCCTGAAGCTATTTCGGGCCTGACGAATGCCCAAGCAGGGCAGAAAAGACTCAGGATGTCTGGTGACAGGGGCCGTGGGCCTAATGAAGCACGGGGAACTGTTTCGGGGACGGCAGGACTTAGGGAAAGGCCTAAACCTTAAACCCCTGGCCCTGGCGTGGGCAACACGAAAAGCCTTTTCAAGAGTTTTGCAAAAGCTGCTCCAGGCATCATCAACCGACTCCTGCGTATTCAGAAGAGCAGGAGTGATCCAGCATTGCTCCTTCCAAGCGGAATCAAGGAGATTACGCCACTCATCCTGAAGCATGCCTTCCGGTTTAAAGTACCGATCGCACTTGCGAAGCTTGGACGACATGGCAGTCGACAAGCACTTTTCACAGTGAAGTTTCAAGATTCTGTGATCCGAAAGCTTTTCCTCGCCTAAACAGGCGGAAATGCAATGCTAAGGAAGGTTCGAGATCGCATAGTCAACACAGCGATTGGCATTCCATCTGGTAGGAAGCCAATTAGCATCATCTATATCCGGATGGGCATCGTAAACATGCTGCTCAACCCTACCAAAATCCATAACTGGAGCAAGGGCAGCGTCATCAAAAACGGAAGACTGTTGGTTATGCCGTGTGGCACCCACAGGTGCAGCAACAACCGCAGCGCCAGAGGCATCGACAAAAGGGTTCTCACTGGGAGTGAGATTCCAATCGCCAACGACCAAAAAAGGACAGCTGGAAAAATCAGCTAAGCCAGAATGCAAGGCTTCAAGAAAATCAGCTTGTTGATCATTTGGAGGGCTATAAACCCCGATCAAGAGTAAACCACCTGCCCAGACAGCAATGGCTTGACCACCAGGCATAGTGATCTGAAAACGCGTGGTATGGGGAATCCCCCTTCGCACAAGAAGCAGAACTCCTCCGGTGGGCCTTTCAAGGTCCCGACGAGTATTGGCATCAGGCCCTTTGACATGAAAAGCTTTAAAACCTTTACACCAAGCAGCGCTGGTAAATGCATCAAGCTCGTTCTGTTTCATACGAACCTCCTGAACGACGGCAAGAGAAACGTCATTAGCGACAACAAGGTAAAGAAACTCCCAAACCTTAGGAGCTCCACCCGTGTTGAGCGACCAAACCGAAAAACCCCTACTGAGCAAACGGATTTTACCGTGTCGGCGGGGACCAGGGTGAGGCTCAATACCCTGTTCAAAGCCAATCTGGCAAGAACCAAACTAACCCTTGGAATCAAGGAAAGAAAAACTGCAGCGTACTGGGGGGCTGGTGTCGCAGTGGCAGTGGCGACGGTCCTCCCCCTCAGACGTCAAGATTTGGCATTGCGGCTCGAGCAGCATAGCCATTCATCGGCTTCCGCAATGCTAACTCCCCAGAGCTTGCAGAGAACGCGCTTCTGAGCAGTCTTCATTGCTTTCCATGACCTCACGCGTCCTCTGCCCGCATGCTCACTGTCATGATCACACTGAATCTTCCAGACAGCAGCACTGCCAGAAGGATTGACTCTCCAACATGTCGTACAAGTGGTGTACTTGGTAATCTGACGCTTATCGGCCCCTGCCACCGGCCAAACGCCAGCTTTCGGAGTGAAGTGGACAAGATCGTGCCCAAATTCACTATTCTCATCATGAGGAGACCCAAAAATGACATCAGCCTCTTTCCTTCTCAGCCCCCAAATGTCAAGGAGTCTAGACTGATTAACCTCGCTAAGATTCAACCAGAAAGCCCTCTGAGCGGAAGCAATGCCTTGACCAGTACCACGACATGGCTTCTTCCACTCATGCTGGCGAACCTGCAGGCATTTGACGCACGTGAAAAAATCATACTTTCTTTTCCCTCCTTTTTTGTACTTCCAAGAAGCCCAATCAGGAAGGAAGTGCAACAGCGAATGTCCAAGTGGGGACATGTCTTTAGCAGCAAACTTACTAGCTCTACGAGTCATACTCAACTTCACCTTGCTCTTCTGAAGGGAAATTTGCTTGGGGGACTTCCATTGCTTCCAGCGCTTATGGTAAAGCTCCTTTCTTGTCACACGAGGGTGACACGCCTTACGGTGCTTCTCAATGGCCTGCTCCTTCGCCCACCTGGAGCTTGTGGAACCAAGGCCAACGTTGCAACGGGGCATCGGACACGACCATTCGCGCTCATCCAAAGGGATGGACGATGACACTTCAGGGATGACAGTGCGCTTACGGAGCTGCGTGTGTGGACCAAAAGCCTCTTTCTGATCTGCATGACGGTACACGATGTGATTGGTCCTCATCTCACCAAGCTTGGCATTGACAGCTTTTTCACTGGAGCCCTTGGCAGTCAAGACGACCTTGCACACAGGGCAAGGCCAGTTCCTGGAAACCGTGGCAGGGCACTTACTGGAGCTGGAAGCAGCTCCTTTAGGGGGCGGCTTGCAAGTACTACTTGAAGAACCCGAACCTTTAGGAGAAACCTTGTCAGACCTGGCAGGCTTAATCCAAGAAAGAATCGAGGAGGCATCCTCTGGATCTTGACCCTTATCACGGGGAGTGACGCAGATACGCTTGGTCTTTGCACTCTTCACAGACTCTGCAGGTTTGAGCCATGAAGAAACAGAACTGTCATCCTTCAAGGTCTTAGGCAAGCCTCGTGAAGAGGCAGGAGACCCAAGCCAGCTTGAGCAGGTGCTCTTCAGTTTGCCAGAACCTCGGTAGACCGAGGCAGACTTTCCAGCTGTTGCGAAAGTGGCTCCTCTTCGTATACGTCAACAGGCAGAACAGAGTCCGGATCCACTCCGGTGAAATGTCCATCCTTGAGGCAAAGGACCAAGGGGGTGGACTTAGACTTGTGAGTGGGGCGGCAGACATCAAGATACACCCATTCAAGGGGACCTTTTGGGGACCTGCGACACCATTTGAACACGTGTACTTCAGTCTTGAGAACCACAGCAGCGGCCTGAATCATCCAGCTGTCAGCCCACTTGTGCGGGCGCTTCACAGTCTCGATGTACTCTTGCCATGTTGTGGCAGGATTGCCGGCTTCTGTGTCAACAGTGGCACCAGCATCCGCAAACCATGTTTGCTGAAAGGACTTGTCATTTGCAAGACAAGCTGCAATCTTTGTCCTGAGCGTGAGCGACAGAGCCGACGCCTTCTCAGCAATCTGCTCCGTTGTTTTGCCATTACGCAAGGCGTGAAAACCGGCCAACATGCGGAGTCCACATTGACCCTCTCCTCCTAAATCCCACAATTTAACCCCAGCAGGACCCTCACCAGAGCAGGTCTCATCACGGGCTTTCTTAGGGGGAGGCTTAACAGGTGAGGAACGAAGGTCCCCAGGAGCACTACCAATGGGGGGGCTCCTAGTCTTCTTAGCAGGCGATTCTTGCTTTCGCTTGTTTCCTTGAACCTCAGGCTCAGGGGATTCCTGTGTCGAATCCAGCACAGTAGGCGGGGCCTCTTTGTGCGTTGGAGTGACGACACCTGTCTCCATGTCCGCATCCGGCTCGGGTGCTTTGGAGCTCTCAAACCAGCTTTGAGACACGGCTAAATGCTCTTCATGAAAATTCCTCGGGGCTTTCCTCCACAAAGAAATGATCATATCTACATTGCCCACTGTGTAAATGAGCTTCTCTTGTGACTTGTACAGCTGAGGCGCAGTGGCAAGCGCAGTCCACTTGCCAGACTTGTACTTAGGAGACTGCAACTGAGCAACATCCTGCCAGCCTTGTTTTTCAAGGAACTGCTTGACGGTGTCAGGACCCCAGTGCTTGGGAACTGACTGAAGGCTCCAGCGACGAGGGCCTTCGGAAGGAGCTACACCACGCAGACCAAGGCTGCTGCCTCCTCCAGTCCTGAACGCAAGACAGGTTTTGGAAGCATTGGCTTTTACAAGGGCCTCCTTGAGGTATTCCCTGGGATCAAGATCTTTCTCGCTAGGCTTAATCCAGGAAACAGGTAGCTCAGTGGCAAGAGCTGGGGCAACTTGATTGAAGAAGAGGCCCCATTGACCACTGACATCAAGAAGCGTCTTGACGTGTTCTTGGGGAATCTTTAAATAACCCACAAGGAGACTATCAAGCTTGTCCTCTTTTACCTTCCAGCCATACGACCTGGCAAAAGCTCCTGCAGGAAGGAAGTCTGCAAGAACCTTGTTGGGCTTCTTCAAAAGGTCTTGCCAAAGCGTAGCCGTGACAAAACGCTTAGGGGTTGTGATGCGAACTGTAAGTTGTACAGGAGCATCGACAGAGTCTTTTTCACCTACAGTGACCTGAGCAGGGCTAGGCCATGTAGGCAGTCCGCTTGAGGTGAGCGGAACGGCAGTGCACTTGATCCAACCCTTTCCAACAATCTTCACCCACATGTGAGTTGCGGAAAGCTTCTTGTCCATGTCATCCTTGCAATGAGCAGGAATCAGCAAAGCACACTTGGCAGTGAGGCCATGAGTCTGTGCCAGCATCACAAGCTCAGTCACTTTAGACACTGTGGCCAGGCAGAACTCACCACTTGGCTCTGAGCCTTCATTAAGCAGCGATTGGAGATCTTTCAAACGGATTTCCTTGCTGTTGCACCATTCTGGGCACAGTTTGCCCGCGATCACGGGGGCAGGACGCTTTGGAGCTTCCGTAGCCTTCGGACCAGCCTGAGAAGCGGGCCGAGCGTTCGCGTGCTGAGGAGCGCCCGCCACCTGAACCTTACGCTCCACGCTAGGTGTCAAGGCGGCACTCTGGTTTCTGGCTGATGTCTCACTTTCAGCGAAAGTGACACGCATGCCTGGACGAGGCTTGTCATTTCGCTGCTCCTGTTCAAACGAAGCAACAAGAGCCTTCACTTTCTGTATAAGGCCACTGGTTCCATTGGCCTTCGCTTGGCGGACAATCCCTTGGAGTGACTCCAAAAGCCGATCCCCGGGATCGGAGGGAGCTTCTTCAGGATCACTTTCTGGCTCTTCAGACACTGCTTGAAGCAACTTGCAAAGACCATCGAAGATGATCTGTTCCTTTCGTTTTCTAGCGGAAGGTTTCCTACCCCCACCCCTATAAACGAAAGGCAAGCGAGGCTGGTTATCAAAGGAGCCAGCGCACGGTTCGAACAGCTGCTGCTTAATCAAGTTGTCAGAATAACGCGCGGCACGGTGCATCCTGTCAACCCAAAAACTGCGAGCAGCTTTGACCCTTCTCTTGCCAACAAAGCGAGCGCGACATATCTGCACGTCAGAGGAATGCATGCGCTCACTTGCAGCATTGAGTGAGTACTTCCACATCAAATTCCATGCCAAGATCGTGGTTTTGGCAAACCATGCAATGATTTGCAGCACAGCAGCTTTAAACGCCCCATACTCCGATGGGTATGCCACTGAATGCAACACCGTGATATCATAATCCTCAATGACAGCATCAAGCGATGAGAATGCAGAGATGTGCACATCGCCACTTGGCACATACGTCTGATTCACAAGGAGAAAACTATCATTAACAACCGGCTTCTGAGCTATAGGATCTGGCAACGTGTGAGCTGCAGTCGCAGGAAGACAAAGCACGAATGCTAAGGCGATTGTCAGAAGCCTTCTTTTAGCAGCCCCGCAGGCGCAACACCGAGGTGCACACCGGAGCTCCCGCCGCGACCACTTGGAGGTAGTTGGCATCGCGCGGCTCACCTTGTTGTAGTCCAAGCCCTTGTGCTCAGATTGGGAGAGACTGTCCTCACCGTTTCCAGGGCCAAGCAGCTATGTTCCAGAAGGGGGCGCCCAAGGGAGGTTTTGGATACCGGCCGGCAGCCCCTCCTTCTTCCACGGCGTCTACATGATGGAGGCCGTGCGCGACGAGGACCCCGGCTTGTTCGATCATCGACCTCTCCGACACGACAATGGGGAGCGACCCAACCACGGCAAGGCGATCGGCATCTTTGAGAACGAGCTGCTGGACGTCTGGAACAACAACGTCCCCCGAGCATGTTCAATGACGCCCAAGGAGATGCACACCCCTAAACCCTAACCCCTAAACCCTCCCTAAACCCTAAACCCTACGTAGGTTGGGGGTGACCGTCCGGT